CATTGGGATCAAAAAAATCATCAGAGGACAAAAACCTTGGCTACTAGGTGCTACCTGTTTGTTGTACCATTTTTGACTCTTGTGCAAATCAAAACTGTTTTCATTTTTTTGACACTCATACAACTCAGGCCTATACAGCACTGGATTATGACCAATAATGGCATCCCAGATTTCCAGGAACCAGTTCTATAAAGGCAGGTAATCTTTAGGAACCTATTCTGCTTATTTTTTTTTTTAATCTGAGAATGGAAACAAATTACTTTATAGTATCAAAAAGAATTAAACCATTTTGATAATTTAATAGAAAACATTTATTTATTAAGATATTTCCAGATTGTAATTCTGTTCTCATATTTATGTTGAAAAGTCTGATGTTTTTTGACTCTAGTCTCATCAGCTGTGTTAATATTTCTTAGCCACATTTGAATGGAATTACTGCAGTCCCAAAGATCCAATGGAAGAACAATCAAATTTATGACTAGAAGATTTGACACATTTTTACTTTCAAGAACATTTCTTTTATCAGAATAAATTATGTTCATCATAGAAAACCCTCTTTCAGTCTCTGCAGAACTTACAGCAATGGTATTGGCTATTTAGCTATTATATATCGGTTACTGATATATAAGATTATTTTCAGAGAATCTAACAACCGGTTTGCTAAGCTTTCATAATTTTAAGAATCAGTTCACGTGAATTGTTAGGATGCCACCACAAATTATGAAATTTTGGAGTCCCAATGCTAATGAAATTATAAATTCAAAAGTATAGAGAAGGTAATGGTAAATCATTATGCTATTTTTCCCAGGAAGTTTTGGTAATTCATGGATAATAAAGAAAAGGAATCTGTAGAGATATAGCATTTTAAAAAAGAAGAGGTATCCTAAGGAACAGTCTTCTTCTTGTATGTGCCATATCTGGTCATGGCTCTCCACAATTTCCTGTACTTCATAGCTCTTAATAGATTTTTTTCTTTTTCTTCTCTCCCAAACCTTGTTATTGCTTACATGTTCAGTCTATTGTATCCTCAGCATCTTTCTGTAGAACCTCATTTCTGCTGCTTCGAGTCTCTTCTTCATCTATGAGAAGATTGTTCAGCATTCTCTGCCATACAGGAGGACAGATATCACATAACAGTTTAATACTCTTTTCTTTGTTTCTGATATGATAAATATGCAGATCAAGTGCTTTTATTCAATGTGTGACATGTTACTGTTGGAAAAGGCAATTGCGTAAAATCGAAATGTCAGGAAAAATTAATTTTCTCCCTTGCTCTCTTGCTTATGCTCGAGTCCAGGGTACTCGCCTAGACTACTGATATGCTACAGTCAGATTCTCTATGATGTCGAGAGTATAAGTCGCACCCCTGATTTTCATTGAAATTTTGATGAAATTGAAAAAAAATCTTGTAATACCCGTGAAAATTTCATGGCTTTCTTGCTTCACTTTTATTTTCTTTCTTTTTCTCATTGAAATCAAAATTTAATTTTCTTGGGAGCATTATTAATTTTTTTACAAAAATGTATTGCTGGTAATATTTTTTTCCTTAGAAAAATGTATTACTGGTAATATTGTTTTTTTACTTACAAAAATTACAAAATTTTTAAAATCTTTTTTACAAAAATGTATTGCTGGTAATATTTTTTTTCCTTAAAAAATATATTAAATAATTGTTAAAAATAATATCATAACTTTTGGTGATGTTTGATTACACTGGTCAACATGATTTTTGGTGCCAAGAAATAAAACACATTTTTTAGCTAATTTCATGGTGCTGATTCTGAAAATGACTTTAGTTTTTCATGGTTAGCTAACATTTTTGCTGTACCGAAATTGCTCATTTTTGAAAAAAAAGATCAATTTATGATCTTGAATGATCACAAGATTTAGTTAGTAGAAACCTATCAGTTTTCAGGTAGACCAAGCAATTTATTTCAGCCACATGAAATAACTATTTTTATAAGAAAAAAGTGTTTTGGGGTCAAAAATTTTAAAATATATGTACCAAATTTTTTCCAATTTATTGCCAAAATTCAAATTAACTAAAAAACTTTATCAGTAATACGCATTAGTGAACCTGATATTTAAGGTGAAATAAATAAAAAAAATGAAACCCTAAAATGTTCTGTTTTATATTCATAAATTTATCCCATCACTTTTATCCCTTCACTACGGAAGGAAACCAAGTACATTGAGAGCATTTTGTTTTCACATTTGGAAAGAAACTCCAACTAAAGACATCCCAATTGAATGCACCTATTCCATTGTACATGATACTGCTGGAGTATGAAAAGGGACTTAAATAACATTGAACTTGACAGACAATCAAGAAAGAACATTTTTACCATAGGTTTTATGTTCATGAAGTTTTTATTTCTGCTGTTAGTTTATTTGATTTGATGAAAATACTTGTTGGTCTTGGTATATTCAATCATGTTATTTTTAAAGACTTAGGGTCTGATTGTTATTGCAAAAATAGAATTTCTCAATAAGCTAACCAATATTTGTTGGATTAAATATGAATTGAGAGGTTTCTATGATTTTATTTTGAGAAATATTGCTGTTGGTCAATATCATATATACAGAACACAAATGAAAAAAAAATGCTTTTTTTTTCAAAAATGAGGCATTTCTGTACAGCATAAACAGCAGCTAATCAAGAAAAAATAAGGTTCATTTTCAGATTCAGCACCCTCAAATTTGCTAAAAAAAATGTTTGGTATCTCGACACCATTTCAAAAAATTTTGCAAAACTGTACAGTGAATTTCAACTGTTAGGCTATATTAAGCTTTGTCCAGCTGAATGAGCTTGCATACATGGATAGCAGAACAGGAGAGATAAGGGAATAAACATAACTCAGAGCTACAAAGGATAGGAAATTGTGGAGAGCCATCATCTCCTAAATCCTGAATGGACACAGCACATAAAATAAGACATTGTGCATTGAATTTGGATGTGAATTGAGCTTATCAGTTAATGCCGCCAGTTCTAGTCAAACCTCAGGACAAGACCATTAAGGACATGTGATCAGTTGCAGCACTGTCCATAATGGGTATTAACACTTTTAATCAGTTTAAAAGTGAAATATCTGTTTGGCACCCTCTATTTCAGGGCATTACATAACATTAAAGATATTGGTGGTGCCACCTACTATTGCCTTTGCATACTGCTATCTAATGACTTTTGGCATGTCAATGTATATAATTTTGGTTCCAAATATCACTTTTACTGTTGTAAGGAATATTAAATAAACTTGATTAAATCACTGTTAAAAAAAAATATGGAAATTTTGGTGATGGTCATTTATTTTATCACAGACTAATGCATAGTGCATTACAACAGTCAAGGTATTATGGCTCTACCTACCATTACCTTTACATACTGCTATCTAATAACATTTGGCATATCAGTGTATAAAATTTTTGCCCTGAATGTTGCTTTGATTTTTGCAAGGAATATTAAACAAAGTTGATTAAATTAACTATAAATATGGCAATCTTAAATTTTGGTGATGATAGCTTATTTGATTGCACAGAACAGAATTATGAATTTCAACTGTTAAATTATGTATGCTATCTATATTAAATTTTTCAGATGTTTGGACGAGTTAGATCCCTTAGTGCCAATCAGCTCAGACCTTCACAGCTAGGACCCACCATGCTGTGTTTATCATATGAAATCATCCCCATTCCTTTCATGTTCCTTTGATAGGGAGCAAGTTTCAATCATCACCTTCCCCAGAACTATTACAGCATCAAAATCTGAATGTGCATCAGAAAATGCAATAGATGCATTCCAAAAGCTAAACAAAATACTGAGAAACAGAGAAAAAATGAATTTTGGACAATATCCTCAAAGACGAAGAGAAAATAGGAGGCAACAGAAATGTGATTCTAGAGAAGGATGCTGAGAATTTCATGGATAGAGATTGTAACTTATCCAGAGTCACTGCTGTGTTATACTATCAGTAAAAAAAAAGTTAGTTTCTGACAATTGCTCTTTATTGAATGTATTTTACTTTATATTTTGCATGTGGAAATTTAGTCTATATAGCAAATTCAAAATTTAGTCTATAGCAAATTCAAAATTTAGTCTATATATCAAATTCAGAATTTAGTCTAGAGCAAATTCAAAATTTAGTGTATATATCAAATTCAAAATTTAGTCTATAGCAAATTCAAAATTTAGTCTATATATCAAATTCAAAATTTAGTGTATATATCAAATTCAAAATTTAGTCTATATCAAATTCAAAATTCAGTCTATATATCAAATTCAAAATTTAGTCTATAGTAAATTCAAAATTTAGTCTATATATCAAATTCAAAATTTAGTCAATATATCAAATTCAAAATTTAGTCAATATATCAAATTCAAAATTTAGTCTATATATCAAATTCAAAATTTAGTCAATATATCAAATTCAAAATTTAGTCAATATATCAAATTCAAAATTTAGTTGAAATATCAAATTCAAAATTTAGTCAATATATCAAATTCAAAATTCAGTCTCCAGCAAATTCAAAATTCAGTCTATATATCAAATTCAAAATTTAGTCAATATATCAAATTCAAAACTGGGATTTTTCAAAAGATTGAAGTATAGAATATGTTTTATGAAAATAGTTTACAAGTCAGAACATCAGAGAAAAGAAAATAAAGTAGGTTATTGTCATGGATAATATGTACAAAAGTGTGTGAAGATTTAATTTAATTTGTTTTCTAACTGAGAAATTTTGATAATTAATTTGATAAATTTTAATTTGTTGCAAATTATTAACTTATTGGGGATTTAAACCAAGAATGCTTTAAAATGGAAAAAAAGTAAAGAAAGAATCAATTTGAAATTGAAGTCAAACATGAATGGTTGCCAGAAAAGTGAATAATGTGTGTGTGTCTGTCTGGGTGAAAGTGAAGAGAGAAAAAAGGATTTAAAAGAAAATGAAATGCGAAAAAGAAAGATGTTGATGGAAGACATGGAAGGTAGGTGTTAAAAAAACTAAATGAAAAATGATAGTAAGAAGAAAGAAAGAAAGAAAGAAAGAAAGAAAGAAAGAAAGAATGTGAATGAAACAGAGAAAGATGAAGGAAATTGTCTAAGACAGACAAAGGAGAGCAAAAGGAATTCTGGGATAGATGAGCAATAGGGAAATAAGAGACGAAAAGCCCAGGTTAGAGAAAAAAGAGCTAAAGAAAGGACAGGGAGTCTAGAAGAGAGGGTATGCAAAAGAATGAACACTGGGTTGGGGGAAGAGAAGAGAATGAAGGAAAAGACAGAAGGCGAGAGAGAGAGAGAGAGAGAGAGAGAGCAAACAAACAAACAAACAAAAGGACAGAAAGTCTGAGGAGAGTACAAGAAAGGAGAGGATGTCTAGAATGGAAAGAGAGGGCAAAAGAAGGAACAGTGAGTCAGGGACGGACAGAGAGAGAGAGAGAGAGAGAGAGAGAGCAAGCAAACAAAAAGAGAGAAAGTCTGTAATGAAGTTTGGAGAGGAAAAGAAAGGAGAGGATCTCTAGAATGGAAAGAGAGGGCAAAAGAAGGAAGAGTGGGGTCTGGAACAGAGAGAGTGAGAGTGAAAAAAAGACAAGGTGTGTCTGGGGCAGAAAAGAGAGCAGGAGAAGAGACAGAAGGTTCAGGATAGAGAAGGAAGAAGAGAGAGAGCAAAAGAGAGAGAAAACAGAATGGTGGAGAGAGAGAGAGAGTAAAAGAAGGAGCAGTATGTCTGGGACAGAGGAGAGAATGAAAAAAAGAGGCAGAATGATGGAGACGAAGGAATGAAATTAGCAAACTGGAGATCTGGAGGCAGAGTTAAAGCAGAGACAGGAAGTCTGGAACAGAAGAGAGAGAGAGAGAGAGAGAGAGAGAGAGAGAGAGAGAGAGCTGGGAAGGCAGGCACAAATTGTATTCTGTTGTTTCACTCAATAAAATGAATAATAAGATCAGACATTTTGAATGAGGTTCAAGTCTCAGTTTCTTAGTTGTTTTGTTGGTATCAATTTACCTCACTAAACACAGATTAACTTTGCTCTTTTATGTTTATTCATTTCTTCTGCTCTCAACTCATAATTTTGTTTTTTTTTTTATCTCCACATCTGATCTTTTTTAAGACTACCATATCAATATTTTCTAATCTTTTTATTCTTGCACACATTCATGGCCAGACTTCAACTGTCTTGTTCTCTGACATCTGATTCATCCAGCCATCTCGACATATTCAAATTCTAATTGACCGCTGGCAATCACCCACCCCAAATGCATATAAGGCCATCTCATATCCCAACTGCTTGATCCCCACTCATGACTTTATTGTTCCTGCAAGATATAGGTGGTTTTCTCTTCCCATTGGCTAAACAATTATGACTCAGAATTTTGAGGGACCAATTATAGCATTGTTACTAATACTAAATAATCTGGTATAAATATTAAAGAGAAAAAATAAAAACTATAATTTTAATACAGCAGCTGAAATATTATCTTTATTTTAATTTTATTAGATAAAATATTGTTGGTCATTATTATTCATTTCTGACAAATATAATTTTCATTACAGCAATAAAAAGTGACTAAAATTAGATAAAAGTAAACCTGTGTCAAAAATGAACAGTAATGGCTTCCAAAAATAAACTAATTTTCTTAATAGATAGTTCATGTTTTGTTTTAATATTTGTTGATGATGTTATTATTACTAGTTTTATTCCATCTTATTATTGTTGTTTGTTATCTGCGTCAATACATACTTCATTATTACTATTATTTTATTATTAGTTTTACTTCATCTTAACATTATTGCTTTTTTTCTGTTGGTTCCAACTCAATAGGAATGATTGCTAAAAATGTCTCATCCTCAAATTTATAGACAAATCATAAGGATGCATGCTGAGATTTCTTCCTAACCAATAAAAATGGATCATTTCTCAGTCTTATCTGCCATAATTTTGTTTTTTTTTTGTTCTTAAAGTCAGAACACTACAATCACTTGTCTGTATCTCTTTTGTGCATTAACACCATTCTTAGTTTGTGAATTTTTTTGCCTTATTACTGTTGCTTTGCCTAATTTTGATTTCCATATATATTTTTTGCTTCATATTATTTTGCTCTATTCTTTTTCTTCTTATTTTTATTGTTTATTGGAATTTAAAAGGTTGCATATTTTATGTGTATTTTATTGTTGTGTCATATGGAAACAAAAAGAAAAATAAAAATCTGGATTTTTTACTATAAACGTTTATTCTTTTAAACTTTTAATGAAACAAAGGGTCTATGTCTTTTGGGTATGTTCATTCTCTTTTTGTCAGAAGTTAGGGTAGTAAGTATAAGCTCATATTAATGGTAGTTTTATAACCAAAATTTTTGTTTAGTTTATCATGAATTTAAAAGGTTGGGGGGTTGAATTTGCATTTTGAACAACCAAAAAAAGATTGATTCACTTCATATATATTTTTGCCTTGGACATGATTTGATTATTTTTGCAGAAAAGAAATGAGGAATGAAACAAATGATTACCTTTTATAGACTTCAAAAGTTTTTGACAAAACTATATGAACCTTATTTACCTTTACATGTTTTTATTGTTATTATTTTGTTTATTGAAAATGTTTGCGGGCATTTTTGTAATTTGTGGGCTTTTTTTTAGTTTCATTTTATTTTTATTGAAGTTTCCATAAACTCTTCAATATTATACTTTATTTATTATTAATTTTTCTTTTTTAAATAATGTTGGTTTTTAGGACTCTGGCTCTATACACTCTTCTTATTTTATTACTAGTTTCATTTTATGTTATTGTTGTTGCTTTTCATCCCAGCACTCTGGGTTCATAAACTCTTCAATATTATCCTTATTTTATTGTTAATCTTACTCCATTTAAATAATGTTGATTTTTAGTCATAAGTGTTGTATACTTCTTCATTAAGAAACTTCATTTTGAATAATATATAGCTTCAGTTGTTCTTGGGTCTTTAATATTAGGTGAACAAGTAATTCTTTTTGGACATTGAGACAACGTATGGAAAGTGAAAAAAGAATATCTTTTTTTATTATTGAATTATTTATTTTCTTATGATTTATTTTTCATCTTGAGAATTTCCTCACCATCTTCCCTCTTTCCTTTCTATATTTTCAACTAGAAATTTCAACCCCCTTGACCAGACTCAAAAGTGAAAAGGTGCATTCAAAATAATTTGGCAAAAAGGTTTAAATCGTGCCATTTAAGATCCTAACTGTTTTACCAATTAAGAATAATAATGTTCTTTGAGGAAAACTTAAAACCATTAAAAAAATTATAAGCAACTTGGATTCCATTTCTCCTCATTTTTTAAAAGTTTTTAATGTTTTTTAAACATGCCTCTAAATCAAAATACCTTTGTTTTACCCCAAAAAAAGTTTGTGTTCTGTATGCGATCTGATTTTAGCAAAAATCTACTTCAATGACTAGAATCTATGCAATGTTCTCCCCTCCCCTGAATGGCGTGTGACCAGTCAGAAAAATATTGTTTTTCGTTTATAAAAAATGTTATTTGGAACATATAGAAATAGACTCTCCCACCTATAATAGTTGTGGATTATAAAGGGAATTGCTCAGTAGGCAGTGATCTTGTCATTTCATGGTGTTTGAAGTGTACCATGATACAATAACATAAAGGCATTGAAGATTTTTCCTCCATCTCGTGAGAAATTTTTTTGTTGTTTCTAGAACACGACAGACCTATCATTTGCACAAGTGCTGTTGCTACTATAAGGCATTCATGCTGGTTCGACTCAAAAGCTTCAATAGCGTGAACATTTTAATTTTGTGCATGTGTTTGTTTTTTAGAAAGTTGGGCACCATCTGAGAAAAAGTGTACAAGAATCATTTGAAACGGCATGCTGTACAGCTTGGCATTCATGCTGGAAGCTTCAATATGAACATTCCAGTGTGTTTGGTTTCAAAAAGAGGAACAGAATATTTGGATAGAGATGGATGCTATATCTAGTCAGCATCATGGTGTTTGAAGTGATCACTAGTGATGACGACATTATGCCTCCATTCATCTTCTTACAGGGCCCCAGACTCAACACAGAGACCTGCATCACATGCCTTGAGGAGGTACTGCTGCTCTGGCTTAAGAGGGTGGCTGCTGGAAGACCCTATGTCTAGCAACAAGACTCTGCACCATGTCACACAAGCAGGAGAATCCAATTATGGTTGTCAGACAATTTAAGACCACATCACTCCTTACATCAGGCCACCTAGACTCAAATTCCCTTGATTATTATGTGTGGGGTGCAGTTGAGTGAAAGACCAACAAAATGTCTTGTAACACCAAACATGAACTGAAGGCAAAGATTATATTCCCCAACTTAAACAAGGAGTCCGCCCAGAAGAGTTACAAGAAATTCTAAAGTTGTCTGGAGGTCGTGGTTGAAGCCAATGGTGATTTTATTGAATAAACTTTCTTTTTAATATTTCATGATATGTGTAATTTTGGTAAATATATCTGTTAAAGTAAGATGTCAGTGTTATTTTCATTTTTTCATAATTTAGACAACAATTTATCCATCGGACACTGTATTATTAAAAATCTTCATTCTTTTCCATATAAGTACATATATATTTACATGGATTATTATTAAGTTACATTTGTTCTTATATCCTTTCTGGTAAGACATAATTAATTTCCAAACAACCTATTTTCTTTTTATTCCTTCTTCAATTGATTCATTTGTTATTTATGTTTTTGATATTAGCTTAATTTAAGCTTTGTTTTAATACATGTTGCAGTGATCAATTATTTTAATACACGTTAATCTGATCAGTTGTGATCACTACATGGTAATGTTTAAACCTTTATGCCTGCAAAAAAAATGGTCTGTCAAAACGACGGTTATTCTCTTGACATCGTTGTTACTGTATACACATTTGACTCCCTCGGCAGTGTTTATTTATCAGCTTATAAAAATATGTGAACCAAGTACAATTTGCTATTTATTATTTACATTTTATGAATAACTGAATTTTAAAAAGAAAGATTTTTATTTAAAAATTTATAAAAAATTAAAAACTATCAAAATATATAATTCTGAAGCCAACTACAATGCAATATTTATTACTTACCATTTTATAACAACTAGGAAAACAAATTTTTAATTCATAATTTTATAGAAATATCAGTGAACATCTTTGTTGTCAATTCTCAATAATAAAGAAAATGTATAACTCCACTTTCATATGTTTCGCTTTTATTAAATTTCTAATCATTGCTTTTTAAAACAAATGTGGCTGAGGGAATCAAAAGTGTATACAATTATAGCGGCATCAAGGAATAACCATCCATTTGACACGTATTTTTGTGGCACGATAGTAGTTAAACATTGTCCTGTCATCTTATTAAACTTAATCTCCATAGTTAAAGTTTATGTTCTACAATTGTTTTGTTCCATTAAATAATTTGTATCTCTTTTGGTCATTTCTCTTGTCACTCTAAGCAAAAACCATTTCATGCAATGATTCATTCTTGCCATTACTTATTTGAAATTAGTGGCAATATTTTTACAGAACTTTTTAAAAGCGCCAGTTGTTCCACTATATAAAGTAATTCCTTTTGGTTATTTTCCTTATGGTTTGAAAAACAATCCCATCTCTCTTTGAGGCTTCTCTCACTTGATGAAAAGTTTTGCAGACAACCAAGCACCATTTCTATTTTCCATGAATCAACTTTCATCTTTGGTTTCTTATTTTTTGTGTTTTTTTTCTTCAGACTGATTGACAGGTTTTAGATTTTTCATAACAGCCAGAGATTCAATATATCCGTCTAGAAAATGCTCTTCTTTCTTTTTTTCTTTCTTTCTATTCCCATTCATTTTCTAAGGATTCATTTTCTAGTCTGACTTGTCTATCGTTTTG